TGCGTGTGTCTTTTTGAATTATGGTTTTCTCTGGGTATATGCCCAGGAGTGGGACTGCTGGGTCATATGGTAGTTCTATTTTTAGTTTTTTAAGTAACCTCCGTACTGTTCTCCATAGTGGCTGCACCAGTTTACATTCCCACCAACAGTGTAGGAGGGTTCCCTTTTCTCCCCACCCTCTCCAGCATTTATTGTTTGTAGATTTTTTGATGATGGCCATTCTGACCAGTGTGAAGTGATACCTCATTGTAGTTTTGATTTTCGTTTCTCTAATAATTAGTGATGTTGAGCATCTTTGCATGTGCTTTTTGGCCATCTGTATGTCTTCTTTGGAGAAATGTCTATTTAGAGCTTCCGCCCATTTTTTGATTGGGTTATTTGTAACTGTAACTTTTTAGTAAGTATTTTGTTAAGCTTGTCACAAGATAGACACAAGAATACTATTTAATTGAATAATGTAAAAAATATTTACTTCCACACTTATTTACCTATGTCAACTGGAAAAAGAACTCCCAGTTTTAAACACTGAAAAAGTAGCACTATAGAAAAATCTTAACTTAGAAAATTAATGATTTCCTCAAAATTGCATCAATCTACCAGTTCACTCTTTGCACATATCTCTGGTAGGTGAGATGGTAGGAGAAAAACACATTGAAGACATTAAATGCTACGGTATGAACATATTCTCTAGGGAGTCAAAACGTGCTCTGACATGTATGAAGGATGTAGTTGCAGAAAATAATGTCATCCCCCAAATCATTTCATAAACATACAGCATGAGCATTTTCCAAACTGATCAAACAGTATTTTATTCATTCTCATTCCCATCTGGAGGAAGTAAAGACATACAATTCAGGCAACCAAGTAACTTTTGGGGGCACCTTATGCCTAGAAAAAGATTATTTGCTTTTAAGAGCCAAGCATGAAAATTAAAGTTAAAAATGTGAAAGCCAAACTTTATAACGTATTTATTAAGGACATTTTTATCACCTACAATATTCTAAATATTCAAGAACTCATTCCTTGTCAAGAATAGCATCATGACAATTCAGATACGAAAAGTGTCACTTCCAATGACTTCGTTCAAACCCAGAATTAAATATCTTGTGAAATGAAGCAGTCTCAGCAAAAGCTCGTATGTCAGATATTTTTTCAACCTGAAATCTATATTAACTAACACATCCACAGAACTACACCACAATAAAACCATGGTTATAAGAACCTTTATAAGAACCATCTTGAATAGACATTTTCCCCAAGAAACTGAAGATTTATTTCTTAAGTACCAAAACTTTAAAAAAAAATCTTAACCCTGTAGGCTAGAAATCTTCTAATGTGATGCACTTCCTTGGCTTCTTAAGCATAGGGTCTCACTATAAACACAATGATGACCTCAAGAGCTACTAAGGCATGCAAGACAGTTTGTCCACAACTAACAACTCTAGACTTTTCATTCTTTCTTTCCTTTCTTCCTTCCTTCCTTTCACTTTTTATTTAGTTTTTAGTTTTTATGTCTTTTTTCCCTCAGTTTTTTTGGTCTTCTCCTCTACAGTTGTGCTGTCCCCTGTTACTTTTAATTATTGTCATACAACCCCATTCCTCCTCCCTTTCTGAATTGTTGCTTCCCATTTGCTGTGGCTTTGGAACCCAGAAAACCCACTTGTTAGAATTGTGTGTAAAATAAAAATCAACTAAGTTCTTAATGAGGACATCCCCTATGGTTAAAATATGCACAGTCTATGTCACATTTACTTCAGCTTCTTGCAGACTTCCTGGATTCCAGGTAGGTTGCAGATAAAGGGAAGGTTATTAGATGGTCAAACTCTGGCTTCTGAGGGGTTAATACATGATGATAATTGAAATTCACGATGATGGCTCTGAGGTGCCTGTTGAATGATCGTACATAAAATAATATATCTTGAGTATGATTTAGGTTTAAAGTCTTTATAAAATTATAATCCTTTGAAGCTTGGTGGTTCACATCTGGAATTTATGACAATATCCTAACAGATTTCAGATAAACCAGAAGTTGCCATTCCCACATCACATACAAGAAGGGCCTGTCATGCCTTCCTGTTACAGCTTGAGTTCACCCTGGAATGAGGAGGGATAGAGAACAAAATCCTCAACAAGCCCGCCTGGCAAGACTCAAGGCTATGCATTAGGAATGACCTGGTTGGTGCTCACCTTTCCAGCTGGCCTTGTCCCAGGTTCATTCCCCTCACTCTCTGGGGTTCTGCCAACACAGACTGCTCCCCCCTGCTTTCGGTTCCTTGAACACTTGAGGCTCACTTCCCCCAGAGCGCCTTTGCCCCAGAGTTCCCACTGCCTGGAATGCTCTCTCTCCCCAGGCCCAGCAATCACTGCCTAGTTTCCTCCTACTCAGCTTAATCATACTTCCTTAGGAAGGCCTGGCCGCTCTGACAGGTCAGCTCTGCTTGTTACACACTCTTGTAGTTCATGTACTTCCCCTAGAAGCCCTTCTAGAATTGTAATTTTTCATTTAATTGTGTGTAGGACAGATTACCTAGAAAATAGTAGGTGCTCAATAAGTATTTGTTCATTCCATGGAAGGGAGGGAGCAAGGGCACTTCAGCCAGACTGGCTTTCTCATTGTGGTTAACATCATGACCTGCCCGGAGAGCAGCTTCCAACATTTTACCTTCACTTGATTTCTGCCAAGGCCCATGGGTCTCTCCTTCCCTTTCAAGAAAAGAGTAAAATCTATTCAATGAACATGCAGCAGCATGCCATGAAGCTATTGCTACTACATTCTAGACATTGTGGCCTTATTCCAAGCAAAGAAATAAGAAGAAAATCTTTCCAAACAAATTTCAAAACGTTTGCCACACTGTGATACATGCTCGCTTTAACATTTGTCTTCTGTTAATTGTATTTTTCTGGTTTTTGTCTCAAGTTTTGGCAATTTCAAGTGTTCTGGTTACCATGGAAAGAGGAAACAATGACCTCTTAGAGGTTAAGGGGGAAAAATATTCGCTCCAAACTGTTACATTAAAGATTCATTATGCCCTCTCCCGGGGCTCTTGGGTTTATCCTTAAGACAAGTTCAAATTGCTGAACATGAACTATTAGCTCTAAGTGAGAACCTTTACCTTCTTTCCTCTAAGCATCTTCATAACACTTCAGACATCTTATAAGTTCTTCCTGACACATGGGAAACTTAGGTTACGAAGAACCGTACGATACACATTGTCAATTTTATTTTTTCTTTCGTTATTTCAGAGGAAGATAAAAATTTCTTAACTTTCAGAGCAAGAAATAAACATTAGATGTTGCCTCTTTGTTGTTGTTCTGTATGTAGTCTTAATAGCTGTAGTCTGAATAGTTATAGTCTTAATAAGTCTTTCACAGAAAACTTGACCAGTAATAACTGAAAATTTTGAAAAATCTGGAAAAGGAAGAAGATAGTTTACTTGTCTGCTGAAGAGGCAAATATCCCTACAATTTTATATCCTGTAAGAATGGTTTAATTGCTTTTAGACTTTGAACTTAGAACCTATGTGTGCATATATGGCTGTATAAGACTTGGTTTTTAACACATTATATAATATCCTGTGTTGTAATTTTCCACATCTCATGTCACCAGAAAGTTTCCAGGTTCCCTGAAGGACAGGTATGGGTGATTCTAACACTACCTCCTGCCTCATTTCTGTGTGGAAGCTGGCCTGCTGCCTCTCCCTCTACATCTAAGGTGTCATCCTCCTGTAAAGCATCCATCTGATGGACTGCTTCCCACTGCACTTCCCCATCCCACCCCGACTACTTTTTCTTGCCTTAATTCTGGCTTTAGGAATATCCAGAGGAGGCTTCTATCTTAAAGTGTGTTTGACAGCTCATGTGGCTCAATATTTTAAAAAAAACAGCGCAATCAAAAAATGGGCAGAAGACCTAAACAGACATTTCTCCAAAGAAGACATACAGATGGCCAAGAGGCACATGAAAAGCTGCTCAACCTCACTAATTATTAGAGAAATGCAAATCAAAACTACAATGAGGTATCACCTCACACCAGTTAGAATGGGCATCATCAGAAAATCTACAAACAACAAATGCTGGAGAGGGTGTGGAGAAAAGGGAACCCTCTTGCACTGTTGGTGGGAATGTAAAT